TTTTAACACTAATGAATTATTTAAATTGTTTTTTATTAAGTTGTTATTTTTTTCAGCAACGCGAAGTTTGACTTGCTTTGCTTTGTTTTTCTTATTTTTTAAAACTTTATGCCTACTTGGTACTAAAAGTTGAGAATTTTTCAAATCCACATTATTGCTTTTATGACACAACTCTTTTTTGGGTTTAAGATTATTCTCAGGCTCTATAAGAAAACTGCAAATTAAGATTATATTAAGTTAAACCATGTTTGAAAATATGAAGATGCAACTGAGAAAAACTAAGATGTAACAGAGTTTTATAACAAAATCATAAAGGCCAAGAAATTTTAAACTGTGTCATTAAAAAAATTGCAAGAAATGTTTACACTATAATACAGTACCTATGCCCGTTTCAATTCCAATAAGGATCAGAATTATTTGTATTAAGTATTTCTTGATAATGTTTAATTTAATAATTTGTCTAAAACTGCCAATATGTCAGACACTTTTTCTCAGTATACCAAACTGGTAATACATATAACTCCACCTCGATTGTTCAGTAATGATCAAATACGACTATAGTCTTAAGATTGAACAAGAAGAAACCGAAAGCATAATATAACAAGGAGAAATTTTATTATAGAGAGAATTCTCAAACTATGGGAACTATGGATATATGATGCTAGGGTACATGTGAATAGCTATAACGAAATAAACCCGCTGTATTATCTAAGAATATGACACAGGTTATGTCATTAACTGTAACTTTGCTAATGAAACATGACATAAACGCACAAACACAAAATGCATACACATTTCACCATATCTGGGGCATATAATGAGAGGCAAAACGTTTCCAATGAGATATCAAGGAGATGGAAAGAAAATATTAAGGAAAATCAGTGTTAGAAAACTACTGCTGGATGATACAGAGGGATATTCCCGATAGTATTTATCAGCGAAAATGTACCAAGAGGTGCCTACGATTTCGAGAAAGTTAGTTATTATTTATTGTAAAATAAAACAGTTATCTCATGGATAAATGTTTTTCAGACTGAAATGAAAGGTAAATAATAGAAAGACGAGGAGAATGTTGTAGAAGGAAGCACCGCTATTTTTAAGTATACCAATTTCAGTAGTAGAAGTTAAGGAGCTATTATTGATCATGATGTCAACAACGAATTAACTTTTTTCGTTGAAATAATAGAGAAAATTTTCTTATGCCTTCTTAAGTTTCGTTTAAACCATTTTAGAAAGTAAATCTATAAAAAATGTTTTATATCTATAAAAGAAATTAGAACAAATTTGGAAGAATCATAGAAATGTATTTAACTATATTACCTGGTTGTTGAAATTTATTTTTATTATCTACAACACATATTACTGGTAAATTGGTTTGTACTAGTTTCCTCAACTTATTTTTGTAATAACAATCACCTGATCTATTTCTTAAATAATAAGCATTGAAGCACTTCTTGCAAGTTTTATATTGGTCTTTTGCATGCCTATCGTTCAGAGGTATGTATACACAGTTTTTGATAATTGGATGCATTGACTTGATTGTTTTTTTAGACAACTCCTAAAATTAGGACAATAAAATGATGGATTTTAATAAAAAAATTTATGACATCATCATTATATCAAAATACTCGAAAAGGTTAGTGTAATTGTAACACTTTGATTTAAAATTTAAATGTGTAAAAAGATATTGCAAACTACATACATTACTCAAAATTCACAAAAAGTAATCGTAAAAGCTCCTTCACTAGCAAAAATACTACAAACAATTATGTTCTTTGCTTTATAAAACCCCTGTCAGTACGCTTATGAAACCGACGTACAGATAACAGACAATAAAATCCATGGACGTATAAACATAGATGGACACAGCAATAAGATACCTTTAACACGGAATGTTTTGAAGCTTCGATAGAATGTGATGCTTCCGCAATGAGCATAAGCGTGCTTGAATTATTACTCGCGAGTAATTATTCAGATTTTAAAAATTGAAAGTAGTAATAATGTATAAAATCACGTTCGAAGAATTTAAAAAAAAAACGAGAGTTTAACTATTAACAAATCACGTCTTTATAAAAAAATTAAAATACAATTTTATTTGCTTTAAAATTAATACAATTGTAACGACTATTTTGCTTACCACAGGGTAAGAATATGGGGGACAAGATTGGGCAAACAAAATAATCGAAACAAGTGCATACGACACTCAGTTGGTTGTTGGAGAGCTGGGTCGTGGATAAGTTGAAGATATTGGGGGTTAGATTGGGGCAACTACAAAAAAAAGAAATAAAGGGGTACTTATACAAATCTCTTGGGACAAACAGAATGAAAATAAACGGAAACACCTCAAGAAATTTAATATAGGGCGCCACTTGAGGTGCCTAATTATACCTATTACAACCACTAGTTGTAACTAGGGAAATAATTATGGAACATCAAAAATATAGAAAAAAATATCTTTTTCAAATAAAACTCAAAATAGATCAGAGAAACAAATTGAACGTTTATTCTTGTCTCAAACAAAACAGATCAAAAATACATATTATAAAAGAAACATATCATATAACATAATACAAATAACAAAAACTTACATGTTCTTTGTTTACTATATTATGGCCAATTAGATTATCAAAAATTAAGGATCCTTCTTAATGAAAACATATAAATTTAACCTTATATATGAAATATCGTTTCTACATAATAATCAAATTAAAATTGTCATAACAAAAAAACAAATTAAGCTTGCTGTCAGGTATCACATTTAATTTTGATGACAAAGAATGAAAGCAATTATTACTTTAGCCAAAAAATATCTGTCTTTACTTTGAAAAATTAATATATTGAATTGTTACCTTAATGTTTTTTTTATACAAACACTTTGAAACTTTACATCTCTGGGGAAGCTACTCGGACAAAACTTTCAAAACTGGAAGGCAGCAACCATCAGGAACTAGTTCTACACTCCAGGACAAAACGATTGGAACAGGAACTTGGTGGAAGAAATCAAGCCGACTACGGGGACATCCTATATCATACTTCTTAGAAGCTTCCGGTATTTATTCAAATCTGATAGTATTATCATTGACCGGTCCTAAGACATTTCAAAAGAAATTGAATCCTCTTTGATTCAAAAATGGCCCAACATTTCACATCCGCAAAAAGCGTCTACCACCGTTTCAAATAGGTTCTTGGACTCACATTGTAGCACGTCTGCCTGCTTGGAACTTAAATGTCGACTCTATTGTCACATGTCTGCCCTGTTTGAAATCTCTCAGTCGACTTATTGTCACATTCTGCCTGTTTGAAATCTCTAAGTCGACCTTTCTTCGTTACATTTTACCAGAATCTCGCCAAAAATTTCCCTTCCGTCTTGCAGCCTGTCGCCGACCCACTTAAAACCAAAACAAATCTTCCCTCCTCTTATCGACAAAAAAACAACTTTTAAATGTTCCTTTATTGCCTAAACAAACAAATATTCTTTTTTTTTGACCCTCGTCTAATAACGAAAAACAACTTTAATATTAGGGGAATTCATGTTTATTGCGTTTTTAAACGAAGAAAACAAATAAAACCTTTTTTTTATCAGGGGGCATCATAAATTTACATAATACAAATTAACAAAATACGTGCGTATTTTAAACTTGAGTTTTACCTGACTTGTAACAAAAGGTTCGACATTTGAATCTAAACACAGACAAAAAACATCTATATTTACTTTTGAATCGGTAGAAATATACGCATTTAAAAATCTCGTCAAAAAAACTTGAAATATTATTTCGATTGTTTTCTTTGGTAAAAACAACAGGAGCGTAACACAGAAATCTTTTCTATACACTTTAAATAAAAAAAACGCTACACAATAAAATATTGTTGAATTCAAGTTAATTTTTAATAGGTATCAAAATAATGCTACAATAAAAAATCTTTATGTTTTCTCCTAAATTTGCTACCAAAATAGTTCGATCGTCAATATTATTTGGAAACTTACATAGAAAAATAAATGAGTCATTTCACTAATTTATTTGCATCCATGAGAAATATTAGATTAAAAGGGTACTAAATAGATCTTTTTTAATGAGATGATGTCTACTTACAATTTAAAAATGTCTACTAATTTCAGATGAATTTCATGAACTTATATCTTATTTAATACATTAATGAACATAAATAAACCCAACGGTACGCCTATTAAAATGTAAACAAACACGCTTCCTCATTTCCTCATCTTAAATAATGTAAATTGTATGTACTTACAAATAAAATGAGGGATCGGGATGTAAATATTTCGTTTATTTTATTTCACTTTTCACAAATATCACTCAAAATACAGCCAAAATATCGAAAAACAACTTTTACTAAAAAGTAAACAAACATGGAACAGCATTTGAAATTTGATGTAGATCCATAAGACAGAGAAATGTAAACAACCGTTGCCATTTATAAATATTTTTCAGTGCTTCTACATATAAAATAATTGATTGATATCTATTACCTATACGCTATTATTAAATGATAATGCCCACTATGTGCACACTTTATATTTTGATTACAATTAAATATATTAATCTAACCAATAAATTACTATTTTGGTTTGATAGCACCTGTAGAGTATAAAATACGGAGTAATATTTTCAGCGACTCGCGAATAAGAAATTTTAAAACAAAACGTGACAGCAGTTGAAGGTGCTGAGAATGTGATCTATTCAAATAATTTTGACTTCACAATTTTATGTAAATAACTGAATCCATCTGTGTTTATACGTCCATGATAAAATCGCTACCCGAACAATGGCGTTGTCCCCAGTTACATCGCCGTAATCTGCGATTATATTGTTGATCGCAGACATTATTTACCGTTAGAGAAAGATATTAACTACCATATAGCAGATAACTTCAAGTTGAATCATACACGGTGACAACGTTACATTTTTCTTAGAACCCAAATCTTTGCCAAAACATTTGAACAGTTTAAATATAGACCAGTCAAATTATTGTACACTTACCAATTTGGGATGTTTCACATGGGGGATTTCCCCTCTGAAGCAGTCGTAGATTTCTGTCAAATAACTAGCCATTGATAAGAAATCTTCGGTCATTGTCAATTCGCTTCCGGTCATCACAGGAGGTATACCTACATAGAAAAAACATTATTGTAAAAAAATTGAAACAGTTTAACATTTAAGTTAAATCAAATTAGTTGATTTTATTAGAGTGTTTAAGCTTCTTATATCACTACCTTACCGAGTGGCTGAGTGGACCACACAAAATTTAACAAGAATTAATAATCCACATGAACTACTTTCACGCTAACACATCTTGCCATTCTACATTACAGCGTAAAGTGGCTAATACATTTTATGTTTGAGAACATGTCACTAAAGAACAACTACTTGACGTGTTAAAAATGGGGAAATGTTGTTAGAAGTGCGCAGTTGATAATTAATTTAAGGAGCTATCATCTTACGACGTGGCATGAACCAACAGTTCCTTTTTTTGCATCATGTTAGCGTGCTGTACTCGATCAAACGCTTTCTCCTAATCAACCAGACATGCGTATACGTCGCGTTGACGTCTCTGCATCTCTGGAATAACACTTGTACTGAGAACAAAGTCTCTCTAGTACCAACAGCCTTTGTGAACCCGAACTGGTTGGGGGAAATTTGATTTTGATACAACTTGTAGATTCTCTTATGAATTATCTTTAGGAACAATTTTAGAAGATGAATCATGAGGCTTATAGTATTGAGGCTCTTCGCATTTTTGGCTCCTGTTTTTTTTGGAAGTGCAATAAACTCAGATTTCAGCCATTCTGTTGGTATTTCTCCAGAGTTATATATGTTGTTGAATATCTTTGTGATTATTGCTATTGATTGTTGTCCATTAGTTTGAGTAGTTCTGTTTGTATATTATCAGGGCCTGATGCTTTGCCATCTTTTAACTGTGTTATTGCGGAATAAACTTCCTGCTGTCTTGTCCATCATTCGTGTTCATATCAAAAGATATTGGTTCGATCTCCTAAACAGCGTTTACACGGTGGTTGTTAAGTTATTTCTACTCTCCGGTACTGTTTTATATTTTTGGAGAGTAAAAAGTCTATTTACGAGCTACCAAAGCAATTTGGAAGAGTTTTAAAGTTTGTTTTTTAATCACTTTCATTTTGTGTACTTTTCTATAAAAATTATCATACCATGTCATCATTAATACCTTTTGAGTTTAGATGTGGCTACAAAGTATGAAGCCCTCATAAGTATTATGCTCAATAATGAAATATTAAATGATTTCACAAATGTAAATTATTTATTTATTAAATATTATCACCAATTGGTCTCAAGTATTCACACGGGACAGACAAACAAAGAATCCAAACCAGTCCAAAGAAACGGCTCTATAACATAGACAGCTTAAAAAATGAGTTCACAAGTTTTCTTTATAAACTAGGTTTGGCACAAAAATTAGACGAAGAAATAAACGGAACAGCGGAAGAAATGTATGAGACTTTGAAAATCAAAATTCATGAAGCAGCATTAGAAGCTCTAGGTACGAAAGAAAAAGTAAAACATAGAAATTATTGGTGGACAGAAGGTTTATTAGAACTGGTAGAAGAAAAGAAAAAACTGAGGAAACTGATGAGGAAGACCGAAAGAACTATAACAGATACAAATATATAGTAAAAAAGGAAATTAAAAAAACAAAAAACATAACCTGGGACAACAAGTGTGCAGAAATAAGCTCAATAGTAGGAGGATCTAGGTCCAGACAAGCTTGGAAAACTATCAACAGTCTTAGAAAAAATACAAACGAAACAAAAAAAAAAAAAAAAACCCATAGACATAGAAATATGGAAAAATTATTATGAAAATCTATTAAATGAACAACGTACACAGTTTCTAGACACACAGATAGATAGAGTTGAAACGGGGTTAAATGAAGTGGCGATGATTACCGTAGAAGAAATAAAAAACGCATTACAAAAAATGAAAAATAATAAAGCTCCTGGGCCGGGTGATTTACCTATTGAGTTATTCAAACATGCCACTGCAATAACATTAGAATTGCTTTGTAAAATGTTTAACAAGTGCCTACAAGGAGAAAATATCCCAAGAGATTGGAAAGTCTCGTACAAAAACTCCATCTACAAAAAGGGAAACAGGAATGACTGCAGTAATTACCGAGGTATCAGCATTACGTCATCCACTGGCAAACTATATGAAAGAGTTCTGAAAGCCAGAATACAAAAAGAAGCCACAGAGATCGAAGAACAAAGTGGATTCCGACCAGGGAGATCTTGTGTCGGCAATGTATTTACTCTCAAACATCTAACGGAAAAGAGATTAGCAAGAGGACTAGAACTTCATGCCACTTTTATAGATCTCCGTAAAGCGTTTGACTCCGTACCACTGCAGAGACTATGGACAACATTGGAAAACGCAGGTATAAATGCAGTATATATATAAATGCCGTGAAAAAGCTATATCAAGATAACCAAGCTTATATTAAGGTTGGAAACCAAATTTCCAAGGGTTTCACCCAAACAAAGGGTGTCAAACAGGGCTCTTGCCTCTCCTCAACCCTATTTAAAATATATCTTGGTAATGCTTTAAAATATTGGATGAGAAAATGCAGCCCAATGGGCATATGGGTAAATGACACTCCTATATACACAATCCTATTCGCAGACGACCAGGTAGTTCTTGCCGAGGACCTACAAGATATGACGTACATGATAAACAAACTAATAGACGAATTCAAAAAATGGGGATTACAGGTTAATACCGAAATGACACAATACATGAATATAGGAGGCATCGGTCAAGACATGGAAACAGAAAGCGGATTAATTAAAAACGTTGATCAGTACGAATATCTCGGAGTTACACTAAGCGAAGACGGGAGAGACGACAAAGATATAACAAGAAAAATAGGAAAAGGAAAAAACATGATAAAAACACTACATCCGATCCTGTGGAATAAAACTTTAACTAAGAAAACAAAGAAAAATATATATCAGGCTATGATTCAGCCGGTGCTGACGTATGGGTCAGAAGTGTGGGTCTTTAACAAGAATATGTCACAAAAACTCCTCTCAACGGAAATGATGTACTGGAGAAGATGTTCCGGGTTAACTTTGTTTGACCACATAAGAAATGAAAACATAAGAGAGAGAATGAAAGTAAAGAACACAATAATGGATACGATAGCCGAAAAACAATTAAAATGGTATGGACACCTGAGACGGATGAACGAAGAAAGGATACCACGAAAGGTTTGGAACTGGAGACCTACACAGAGAAATAAAAGGGGAAGGCCAAGAAAGAAATGGATATCCAATATTCATATAGAAATGGAAAATAGAGGTCTTCAAGAAGGAGACTGGGCCGATAAGAAATTATGGCGATTGGGATGCGAGAAGCGACAAAATTAAAGTTGCAAACACTCGCTATATATATATATATATATATATATATATATATATATATATATATATATATATATATATATATATATATATATATCACCATTTGTGATATTTTTTTCTGTATTCATATTGCAACTAGGCAGAAAATTGTATATTTTACAATTAATATAAAAAAAATCACAGAAAGCTTAGTATTGGTTCAGTAGCTTAACGTTTTCTACTTTGTTTTAAGCCAATCTAGAATTAAATTTATAATTTTTTTGTTCCTGTTATCAAATAGAGGCATCAAGACAGCCTGTTAGTCAAATCTAAAGCAAGTTACTTAAATATAATTATGCAATTCATACTTGATATAAATTGGTAATTTTAGGTTGAATTTCACAAAAACTATATATCTACCGAAACAAGAGGATATCAAAAATAAAAAATACACAACAATTTAAAATCCAATGTAATGAAAGATTCGAAAATATTTTACCAACTATCGTCACTCATGATTCCGAAAAGATTTGGTTATCTTTTAAAAATACCTTGATACAGACCTTGACTGACTGCGAGGCACAGTCTAATGCCGTCTCAACCGGACCAAAAAAAGTGTGGATGTCTGCAGATACTTTTGACCTCGTTGAAGAACGTAGAAAACTTAAAATTGCTGGAATCGAGAACCCTCTCAGGAATTCCCAGTACCGACAGCTATCTAGAGCTATTCAGGCTGCTTGTAGACGAGACAAAAACAAGCATATAGAGAAAATCTGCAGAGAAATTCAACTACACGCCGACACAAATAACACCAAAGAACTCTTTGATAAAGTCAGACAACTCACACGTAAATTCAAGCAGAAATCTTGGTCTATCAAAGATGATGAAGGTAATGTACAGACGGATTTGGACAAGGTTATTGATGTTTGGAGGGCGTATTGTAAGTCTTTATACGCCAATACGGACCAGATGCCAGCGGACGCCCCGTTTGTACCTGACTGCCAGACCTCCACTTTCCATTCTCCTTCAACAGAGACACACCACACTAGTTTTGAGTCTGAACCTGACATACTTTTTTCCGAGGTGGAATTCGCTTTAAAAAGACTTAAGTTAAACAAAGCAGCAGGATATGATCTCATTACTGCAGACGTCTTGAAGCATCTTCCGGAATGTGGAGTGAAAATATTACATCGATTGTGCAATGAAATATGGCACACAGGCGTCTGGCCTGAGGATTGGAGAAAGACCATAATCATACCTCTTCATAAGAAAGGTTCAACAAATAATTGTAACAACTACAGACTATTAGCTCTAATATCACACGCCAGTAAGGTGATCCTCTACATACTGCAACGGCGTCTAGAAAACTTCATAAGTTGGCAAATAGCACCTGAGCAGGCTGGATTTGTAAAGGGCAGAGGTACTAGAGAACAAATCCTTAATGTACGAAACATCATAGAAAAAGCCAGAGAATACCAGATCCCGATATTTATATGTTTCGTCGATTATACAAAGGCATTTGATAATGTTAGATGGGACAAACTATGGAACATATTGACGACAATGGGTGTACCTAAACACTTGACTCACCTTATTAGCAAACTGTATCAAGATAACCTGGCATATATTCGAATGGACGGATATCTGTCTGACAAATGCACTTTGGAGAAGGGAGTACGCCAAGGATGCGTTTTATCTCCTTTATTATTTAACATCTATTCGGAGTTCATAATGCGCAGAGTTTTGGATGGTTGGGAGGGAGGAGTAAACCTAGGTGGTGTTAAGATATCTAACTTGCGTTTCGCAGACGACACTACTCTTCTAGCTTCTACTCCAGAAGAAATTACTAAATTATTAAAAAAACTCGAGGTAGAAAGTGCTAAATTTGGACTCATGGTTAACTACAACAAAACCAAAATCATGGTTATTGATCGCCAACAACAGTTTCCTGAAACCCAAACTATTGCGGGATGCGAGGTAGTCTCATCTATGATATATCTTGGAGCTCTAGTAAACAACACAGGCAGTTGTGAACCCGAAATTAGAAGACGCATTCAACTAGCAAGAGCAGCAATGAGTGAACTAAACGGGGTCTGGCGTGATCGTCACATTACTATGACAAACAAAAAGAGACTCGTTTCAACTCTGGTCTTTTCCATATTTTACTATGCATGCGAGACATGGACAGTCAAAGAATCAGATCGACGACGTATAGACGCCTTTGAAATGTGGACATGGAGACGCCTGCTTCGAATTCCATGGACGGCTCGCCGTACAAATATCTCGGTTCTGGATGAAATTAAACCGGATCAGCGTCTCTCTAGTACCGTTTACTCTAGGATTTTAAAGTTCTTTGGCCATATCCATCGAAGTGATCACAAAATGGAGCGGTTGGTGGTCCAAGGAAGGCCTCAGACTCAACGCCAACGCGGAAGATCTCCACAGCGATGGGCGGACATTACTAAAAAGCTTCTCAATAAACAGTATACTGAGGCAATACATATAACTGATGACCGCGACCAGTGGAGAAATATTATCAATCAAACTGTCCGAGCTGCTGAAGCCCAATTATGAACCACAACACATCTACTAAGATGTTAATGACTGTGATGATGATATATCTACTAACAACTACGATATAAGAAAAACTTACCTAAATCCTTTTCAAGGACATTAATAGCAATCTGATTGTTTTTCGCCGCATCATTATGAATAATTGCACTATATTCTAACAGATCTGGTCTGTAGTGATGTATTATTGCACATAAAACTTTTCCGTCTTTGAAGACGGAGCCCATGTCGGTGATTTCTATGCCATCCACTTCTTTCAATTGTTCTGTTAACCAGTTGAGCAACACTTCGTTATCCAGATTACCTGAAACAAATATAGGTGTGTATCGTTTTCTACAAACATATTATTTTATATTCATATATTATTAGACAAAAAAAAATTATACAACCTACTTGCGATTTGTTGTGCTCGTAAAGAGAATATTGGTACCGGTATTTCCATACACTAAGGAGAAGGAAAGACATGACGTTTTATTTTTTGTTGTGGGAAGGATGGTCAATGTGATACGTGATACAAATAAGCCCGCCAAGAGTTATAATAGGAGGAAACCATCTAATATTACTGCACATAATTACTTGTGAACAAAAGACTACGACTCCAAGGTCAGATAATAGAACAAGTGATGGAGTTTAAATATTTAGGCATCACATTATCTAGCTACGGAAAGCTCGAAACTGAAGTGGAAGATCAAGTAAATAGAGCAAACAGAGCAGCAGGTTGCCTGAATGATACAGAGAGGACAAAAAAGATGTTAGAAACAGCAGAGATGAAAACAATTAGAAAAATTGATGGCAAGACACTATAGGACGGCAAGTACAGATATACGACGAAGGTGGAGAACATCAAGAATTGGGTAAGAAATAGAAGAGTAGAATGGAGGCATATTGAAAAACAGATAATGTCTACATAAAAAGAAGATAATTGCTTGTGCACAAAAGAAACTCCATCTACATATAAAAAGCTTTGTGAAACGCTATGTACACAGTTCAAAATCACTAATAACATTAGGAAATACCAACGTCCGACGAAGCAAATAACCTTATCTGGGAATAAATCCAGAAAACAACGGAAAGAAAAAGCAATGGACAGACAAATGATCAATATACGACTGTTAGAATGAGGGATATCTGGATGAGAAAAGTCACAAAAGTTAAAGGTATTGCCAGTCAAATAGCAAAATTAAAGTAGAAATTTTCTGGTCGTATTATTAGAGAAAAATATATAATGTAGACTAAGATTATTACAAATTGGAGAGCCTGAACATAAATGACAACGTGGGAGATAAATGGATGACTTAAAATACCATGCTGGTTCGAGCTGGATCCACATGGCTCAATATAGAGAAAGATGGATGAGCCAAGAGGAAGCCTACTATGTCCAATATTGGATGTCTCAAGGCTAACAGATAGATAGAACTTCTTGTATCAAGAAATTATAAAAGAAAAAACAGAGAAAATAATGTTTCCAGAGAAAGAAAAGGACACAGTAAAATATGTAATAACGAATACTCTATGTGTTGAATACGAATTTTTTCGAGAAACTAGCATAGTAAAGATATTGGATAACGAGGATATTGAATGAGGAACTATTTGCTTGGATGGAAATACCTATATTAGAAGAAATCAAATGTCAAGTCCTATTGTGTTTTATGTTTTGTTTCTAATGACATGTTTAAAGTTTAAGTTGATTTTTTAAAGTTTCAAAATGTTTTTTGTGTAACCGATGATTGTTTTAAATCATATGTGATGATTTAAAGTGTCTCATATTAATACATCTTTTATTTAATGGTACTTATTTAGTTTCTCAATAAAATATGTGAAAAACAAAACACCTCACAGTAGAGTTGTTAGTAAAAACTAGTGTAAGTGTATTACATATGAGCTGGATCAAAACAAAACACGGTTGGAGAAAGTTAAAGCATGGAAACAAAGGACCACAAAGTAATCGGAAAGTTTTTTGGGCTTTCCGAACATAGAAATAATCAAGTAGAATAGAATATGAGCTACTTATTGTTTTCTATCGTTTCGTGTTAAGTAAAACTACTAATTTTAGTCCTAAGGACATCTCAGCACCCTTCCTTTTCTTCTTCTAGTATTTTGCTGTTGTAACTCATGAAAAAGTGTTAGATCCAAAAGATACTTTATAAAGTAAAAAAAAGCAGACACCACATATGAATGTTGCTATTTAACGATGGAAAACAAATAAGTACATACATAAAGTCACTATAAAAATTAAGTTTGTAAAATGAAACACATAAAGCTTAATAAGCAATTTAATAACAAACCTGAACATTAGTCATGAAATAATAACAGTCCACCTTATAATAGAAAAATGCGAATAATTTATTTAGTGTAAATACTTAAAAAATCTTAAAAATATACGAGTACTAGGTTTTTTTTTTATTTTTTATTCTATACAGAATATTTGTTAATCAAATTAAAAGTTAGATATATTTCTCTGATGCCCGTTACACAAAAAGGGAAACCAACTGGATTGCAATAATTACCGCGGAATAACTCTGCTAAATACAGCATACAAGATATTGTCAAACATTTTGCACGAGAGATTAAAGCCTTATAACCGAAATGTTTCTAGGAGAATATCAGGCAGGATTCAGGCGTGAACGTTCAACCATTAACCAGATCTTTACACTACGACAGATTCTCGAAAAAGCGCAAGAGTTTAATATAGATATGTATCATATTTTTGTCGATTTTAAAGCGGCATATGACATTGTCTTAAGACCAAATCTTTAAAAACGCTATGAATGAGGATAAAATAGTAAAAGCACAAAGAGCGATGGAAAGATCAATACTCGGGGAGTGACTTATAGACAAAAAAAACAAACAAATGGATTAGAAAAAATAAAAGTAAAAGACGCAGAAGAATATGCTGCCAAATTAAAATGGAGCTTCGCAGGAGACAATGCCCTACTAGGATAAAAGATGGAACTACGAAATACAACAATGGAGACCATGGTTAGGAAAGAGAAGCAGAGGAAAACCACAAGGTCATGAGATGGGCTGATGACATTAAGAAGATCGGAGACACAACTGGAAGCAAGTGGTGCAAATAGAAAACACTGGATTGATCTGGGGGAGTTCTATGTCCAAAGTTGCATTACTTAAGGCTGAAGAAGAAGAAGAAGAGAATAGTTTTTTTATTTATTATTTATCATGATCAAAAAGAAATCTGAACATCAAATCAGAGAATGACTTTATGTGCCACAAAGGATAGTAACGGTCAAAATAAGAGTATACTCTCCAGAAGATTAGAAGAATAGAGAAGAATATAGAGAAAAGGATATCAAGTTAGCAATAATTATGGATGACTTCATTGCCAGAAACTCAGGAATATCAAGCGTAAAATAAAGAATAATAAAAAATAAGCAATAGAATGGTGAGCTAATAGTAGTTTTGGTGACTGGTGACCTATGTTCCCTGTAACAGCGGACACAAAAGGCTGACTGATGATACACACACATACTCGACCGGAACTATCAGAGAAATACAAACCTTAATTGTTGATAATAAATCCAATTTGTACAAATAATTCTGTATTTGTTTTAATTTCAAAGGCAACTGTGACAAAAGCTAACTTAAATTCTATCTAATAAAAAAACTCAACAGTAAATGCATCACGTGTCATCTTCACACAAATTTATAATTAGTGCAGAAATGAGATATTTAAATAATGTACAAAAAGTACATAAATTGTGTGAATGACATGTTGGTTAACGAACAATGGTACAAAAGTTTCCAAGGGATTTTTTTCTTCTTTTGTGTCTAGATATAGAAAATGATTTCAAAAGAAATGTTAAGAATATTATACCATGATTCTAAAGATACTACATTCGTTATGCAAAGCAAATAATTAGTTATTAACCCATCCACTACAGCAGTTTTCTTACAGCAGCTTACAGTATGCTCTTATTATAAATATAGCTCACAGCGTAATTGTCTCTCTGGGTATATTATGGTACATAACTGGTAAAGTAACCAGTTTTTCAGAGTATTCGAAGACTTCCATTATTTTAATGCATACTCTACTAGAACACTAAACTTTATTTTTGTTATTGAGAGAGAAAAAGAAATAAACCACTGTTTAGTGGTGATTCTCTAGGCGTATAATTTATTATATTAATGTTTTACAACTACTGTACTAGCAGCATAAAACTAAAAGCAGATAAAAGTGGGGAAATAAAAAATATATAATATGGTCCTTCGACATCCACAATGATTCGGATCGTTGAGCGTTAAACAAATTTAATTTGTTAAAAACGTAAAGTGTTCTGTAAAAATATGAAGGAAAAGAGCAGAATGGCGACCGGAGAGGTAAAGAGACCAAGGAAAATAATCTCTCTCTCTCTCTCTCTCTCCTCTCTCTCTCTCTCACTCCTCTCTCTCTCTCACTCCTCTCTCTCTCTCTCTCTCTCTCTCTCTCTCTCTCTCTCTCTCTCTCTCTCTCTCTCTCTCTCTCTCTCTGTTGTAAATAGGTCTTAATAACTAATCAAGGTCTTAAATGTGAACCTTCAGTATGCAACTTCTGCAAAACTTACTTCTGCAATGATATGGCTTTGATATGACGATGATATATCGGGGGTTGGGGTAGAGGTCTACACAAAAATAACAGGTGTACCTAAGTTTAGAAGGCTTAATATATAACAATAACAATTAATTAAAGATGTACAATAAACTAAATGACTGCAATATGACCCGTGTAGAACTTCCAGAAATACATATAACCAGCTTCTAAAGAAGAATACAAAGGCTCTGTTGTTACAACGAGTTTATTGTAGAAGATCGCACATTTTTTATCGAAAGACATTCTTGAAAACGTTTGCTTAAAATATTAACTGCATATTCATCTGATTTAAAATATATTTTGCATAATGTTCATTTATTTAAAATGTATTAGTATGTGACCTATGTATACTGGTACTGGTAAATATTAAAATCTGTTCATAAATTGGAAGAAAATACTCGACTTAATAAGAAGGAAAAACGTGCAAACAAGAAGAATATAAAAGAAGTTAAGCACGATAGAAGAGAAGAATAAATCAGAACTTTTGTAAATTCTTTACGTATTGAAAATCTGATAAAGCATGAAGAAGTACTGCACAGATATAGAACTCGTGATATGTTTCAATAATCAATAATTGTATATTTATGTGAAGGCGACAACGCTACATTTGTACGTATAGCTAATTATTAATCTAATATCGTATACAATAAAAATACTTCATTAACACTGTTTAGATGCACCGCATTATCTGGTTTATTAAACTTCGCCCAATATGAAAT